TGGTGTGCCTCATGATTTTTTTCATGAAAAAAGTGTGCCTTTCCACAAAAAAGGTTGAAAAACACTGCTTTAGATGCATGGAGATTCCTTTTACATAAGCTATTTAAATAGTGATTAGCTGAGCTTGTTGTATTATAGTATGTCGCTTTATGTGCTTGGGAACCACTAGCCCCAAAGCCCAGTAAATACATGGTACTAGTGAGGAACTTGCCCATTGTTGTATAAGACCATCTCAATTGTCCCCAGTAGTAATTTATAATTATTCTCATGCCGTATAAAAACTTACTCATTTCTGCAAGCTTTTGTTGGAATTTTGACTCTCCAGAAAGATGTTCCCTGTAGATAAGGGAAGATAAATTCCACATTTTATACAGTTCTGATTTCAAAGTGTATTGAACATAAATTGTGACCAGACCAGGGGCAGGCAATTAATTTTATCAAGGGGCTACATGAGAAAGTAGAATTGTTGTGAAGAGCTGCTGCCCCACCTCCTGCCACCCTGTCCTTGCAGCATCACCACTGTCCCATCAACACCATGGACCAGACTGGGACCATCTGCAAACCGGATGTCTGTGGGCCATAAAATGCCCAGGTCTGCTCTGGTCAGCAAATGGCAATTCACACCGGAATACTTATAATGACCAAACTGAGTAATTCTCCTTCAGATGCATATTTGCTACATGTAGAATCTTTGAATAAATCAAGGTTATCTTGTTCTACTTGGGGAACGTGCCTTCCCTATGCAGATGCCCTTTGAAAAGTAAGACTATAGTCTCAATAGAGGTGGAAATAGCATCAATGCATGGGTTGACACTGTCCGCTCTCTGATTGGACTGAGTCTGATTAATAATTAATTAATATCCTTTATAACCTGCCCTTGTAAGTAGCTCAACCCAGCTTTCGAGTCAGTCTATTCTGAGGACAGACGTTTTATCCTATTGCTCTACTATAGATTGGTTTTTCTACTTTAAATTAGGCTTTGCATCTAAATTACTCTGTGAGTACTGTTATAGTAGATAAACGGACTGATACCTGTTGCTGGGATTATGGCAGCATTGGGCCACATGGCCTAGACCTGACAGACCCACGCCTCGCTGAGGCACTAACTTCGGGTCTCTCGGTGGAGGAAAGCAGAGCATCCAGCAGGCTATGGCACTCACTCTCACTGAACTGTCAGCAAATTTGCCTAATTGACCCTCCACCACTGAGGTGTTTGGCAGCCACTTCAGTAGCCATAGCTACAAGGTTTCTACCCCACGCTGTCTCCTGTCAGGATCTTCAGAGCCGCAGGAGCAAGTGAGAGTGCAAGTGGGGGCGTGATTGGCCCAATTTCATTGCTGACAGCCCGCTGCGTTAGCAGGACTTGGTAGACTGCTTCGGAGCCGCAGGCCCCAACAAGGGTGCAAGTGGGATCGCGATTGGCTCAATTTCATTGCCACCAGAGCGCTGACAGCCGCACCACGGTGGCAGGACTTGACGGCTCACCTTTGCCGCCGGGAGAGCACCGCAGCCCGTGGACAGAGCGCCTCTGCCCTAGCAGTCGTTCCTGCCACTTTTGAGGCATTTGGGCATGGCAGGAGACAGTGAAAAGGACACGAAGTGCCATCTTTGACAGCAGGGCGGCTTCAGAGGAGGCGTGATCACCATTTTGTTTCCAGCATTCCACACCAATCCAAAATAGCGGACAGCAGCGTGCCTGGGCCCTTCCCCAACACAGAGACTGTCAGGCATTGGGGCCAGGCTTGTTGGCAGTAGCACAGGCTCCCCTATCTCCAGCTGGGCCTTCTACCTCTCAAGGGGGAGAGGGAGCCAGGCGCCACAATAAGGCCTCCAAAGCCAGTAAGAACTCCAAGCCTAAGAAGAGTTCAAAGTCGGCTGCAATGGTCAAGCATCTCAAAACTGACCAGCAGCGCCACCCCTCTTCCCAGCTGGACTGTGCCCAATCAGTAAGCTCCCACCCAGGTCACCAGTCACCGCTGCGGCTAAATTCGAATTTGGGACCATTCCGCCCGATGTTGCTAATTAATACGGCTAGCCTTTGGGACAGTTGCCCAGGAGCTCCCAGTCCAGCTACATCTAGAGCACAAGCCAGATGTTCAGAGGCCTCTACTCCCACCGCGGCCTCCATCTTGACTGGCAAGTGCCTGCCATGACTTCCATTCCTTCCATGCTTTCTGGGGGGCCCAATTTACAGGACATCATTGCGAAGGCATCAAGCAGGGCATTGCAGCTGGACTGCAGGAACGCTCTCAGACATCTTTGGGGCTCCCTCGGGTTCTTCTACAAACGGAGGCAATTTCAGCAGGGGTCGAGGACCGGTCATCAGTTTGGTATCCCCACAGTCCATTCCCCCTTTCTGAAGAAGGGGAAATCAGGGAGGCAGACCTATCTGAGGAGGAAGGTATGCCCCCCCCCCACTACCGACATGTGCTTCTATAATGTAGCGGAGGGGCTTGATAAGTTTCTCCAATGGCCCACCGTGGACGCCCCAATAGCAGCTCTCTATTCCAACACCACGCTACCTTGTTCGCAAGAGGTCCTCAAGCCTAAGGACAAAAGAGCTGACCACACCCTCCACCGGGGACACCAGGCGGCGGCCTGAGCTGCCCGTGCCTCGACAGCCACATTTTTTTTCTTTAGGTCCAGCCACTTCTGGCTATAGCAGCTCCAGGAGAGGATCCCGGCCGGTGATTCCAGACCTCACCAAGATCTCAATAAGATCATAGCTGCTGTTCAATTCTCTTCAGACGCCACTCTTAGCACCATGAGGTTTGCCTTCCAGGCCATGACCTCCTCAGTGGCCTCCCGCAGACTTCTATGGTTGCGACAATAGCAGACTGACATGAGGCGTAAGCGGCGAATGACAGCTTAGCCCTAGAAAGGGGGGGCTCTATTCGGGGATGTCCTCACGCCATTATTAATTGAGAGAAAGGACAAACGTAAGATTTTGCCCTCAAACAGTAAGAAAGGGTTATCCTGCCTGGGCCCCTACCCCAGAAGGCAGCAGTTTAGGCAACACGAGTATCGGGGTTCATTTCGAAGCTTGGATTACAATCCCACAGAGTTTCGATCACAGGGCAGCTTTGGCCAACGCCAACGTCAGCAGGCTTATAGACAGCAGAGGGCCAATCAGGCCAAACAGCCCTTTCGGAGCAGGGGAAACCGATACTACTGTAAACTATAAGCTGTCCCAGGATCGGTTCCCCATTGGTGGGCGTTTGCTACATTTTGCAGATCAGTGAGATTCCACCACTTCTGACAGTTGGGTTAGATCCACAGTTAGGGCAGGTTTATCCCTTGAGTTCATTCCCCCCCCCTCCCCGGCCAGGTTTTTTATTTGTTCCCCTGTTTCCTGCAATCCGCAAAGACAACTCCTGATGCGCTCGGTTATCCAGCACCTTTTGGACATTGATGCCATCCAGATGGTGCCGGTGGCCCAGCAACATCAGAGTTTTACTCCATTCTGTTCGTTATCCCCAAGTCCTCTGGAGGATGGGGGACTATTTTGGATTTAAAGCGGCTTAATAGGTACCTACAATATGAGGTTTAAAATGCATTCTTTGCAAACAATATTAGAAGGGTTAAGGCAGAGGGATTTTCTTACCTCTATTGACATAACGGAGGCGTACTTGCATGTACCCATCCTCCAGGGGCACTAACGTCACCATCAATTTTTGCGCTTCTGTTATGGAAATTGTCATTACCAATACAGAGCCTTGCCCTTTGGACTTTCTTCGGCTCCTCGAGCCTTCACTAAGATTTTGGCAACACTGGCTGCGCATCTGAGGACCGTACGGATTTGGCTACAATGCTATCTAGATGACATTTTGTGCAATCAGACTCACTAGACCAGGCTAGGTTCAATCTATCTATCACGATACAGGTTCTCCAGTCCCATGGGTTCTCCATTAATGGAGATGAGTCATTTTACTCCCACCACCAGGATTCTACACCTGGCGACTTGGACTGACACGTTGCTGGAGCAGATATTCCTCTCTGAGGAGAGACTGGACAACCTCCGGCAACTGGTAACCAAGGTCGAGAGGGAGAATAGGGTCTCTTTGGCCTCTCTCTCAAAACTGCTGGGGAAGATGGTATCTACCATTACAATTGTACCCTGGGCTAGGCTACACACCAGGGATCTGCAATGGTTCCTTCTGCCCTTTCAAAAGAAATGAACCAGCACATCTCTGACTAAGGTCATCATACCGAGCGAGGTCTGTCAGCCCCTACGATGGTGGAGGTCCCCGGTCATTAATAAGGGGTGCCACTTTAAGGTGGAGAATAGAGTCACGATTACTACACACGCGAGCCTCCATGGCTGGGGGGCACACGTTGAGCAACATATAGCGCAAACCCAGTGGAGCACGGAGGAGGCAGCCCAGAGCATTAATCTGCTGGAGCTCAGAGCCATTCGCCTGTCCCTACCGAACTTCACCCACTTCATCCGAGGTCAGCATGTCTTAATCCTGACTGATAACATGACTACTAAAGCACATCTGAACAGGCAGGGGAGCACTAGATCGAAGCAGCTAATGAGGGACGTCAGTGAACTGGATTGCTGGGTAACCTCCTTTCCATTACAGCTGAGCACATTTCTGGGGTAGACAATGTTCGAGCCAATTGGCTCAGTAGGTCCTCAATTGACCAGGCCGAATGCAGACTGCACCCTTATCTCTTCCAGAAGATCATGCAGCGCTTTGGCGTTCCGGACATGGACCAGTTTGCCTCCCCGACCAATTCACAACTGCCTAGGTACCTCACGAGGTTCCATATGCCGAGTGCAGAGGGGATGGACGCCCTTCGTTATCCCTGGCCCCGGGGACTCCTGTATGCCTTTCCACCGATTCCAATAATGGCCAGAGTCATCTGCAAACTCATCTCCATCAGGGCAGACATCATCCTACTTGCCCCTCATTGGCCGTGGTGGCCTTGTTTCTACAACCTATAAGCCTTGTCCGTGGAGCGACTGTGGAGGATCCCGCTGGACAGAGCATCCCTCAGTCAGAGATCGCTGGAGCATCTGGACTCTCAGTGGCTCCAGCTGACCACCTGGCAATTGAGCGGGGAGCTCTAAGACAAGACAGTTTCTTCTCCAGGGTCATGTTGGGCATACCTGGTCTATAGCAATATTATGTTAATAGTATTTGTACCATCTGATATCAATATGTAAATAGAATAAATGATGCAAATAATAGAGAAATTTGTCCACTGCATCCAACTGGATTGAGATTTTTTCTTACAAATATATAACAAATATCCTATCCAATTCCATTTTCTACAACATGTCAACTGAAAGGTATAAACCCAGTTAAAATCAATCCTGGAGATGTCCCATTGCTTAGTACAAAGACGCATGGGAATATCTGACTGTTTGGGTATGGCAAAAGACAGACTTCAGGCAAGCCAGGACTAATAGCATTAACTAATAAAATAATCCATTTTATAAAAATCAACTGACACCCCCCCCCAATCTACATATCCCAAACATTCTCTTAGGCACAAATCATTGCAATACAATGAAATGCAGAGACATGAATCAAAAGCTAAAGTTTATTATATTGAGTTCACATATAAATTTAATGAAAATTAAACTATTCTGATGACTTTGTTATCATGTCTCTTTTTTCACCATAATCTCATAAAAATTACAACATTTCTGCCACAGACTAGATGGCAGAGATGGGTTTCCACATAGTAAGCCAAAACTTTAGATGACTGAACCTAGATACTGAGATTTGGCCACTAATACAGACCTGTATTATTTTATTCAGAAATCAGCTCACCTTCCATCAGCTTCATCTTGACCTTCTATATCAAAACGCAATCTCTTCAAAGGCTTAGGAGTGGTGCTTAGTTCAGCGTTCCGTTTGAGATGACGATCACTGTTACATACCATCTTGTTTATCTTTTCAAACTTTTCAGAACTCTAGAATACCAGGAAGATAATTTAAAATTTAAATTAAAAAATAATTTATTTTTACATATGGGTGGATAAGTATTAATTGGAATTCCTTTAAGAGAAAATATAAATGGGACCCTTAAAACAAATTGACTGCATATTCCAAGCCTCTACACATGTTCTTGTTCAGAATGCCGAGCAACCAAGAGTAACAGCTTTATAATTTTTTGAGTGTCCCTGGCAGAAAGAAGGAATTAATTTTGATTAATCAGTGAAATGACTTGCCTCCAACACTCAAGGTTTTTAAGAACAGATTGGATAACTGTTTGAAATGTTATAGGGTTTCCTGCTTGAGCAAGGGATTGGACTAGAAGATCTCCAAGGTCCCTTCCACTTCTGTTATTCTGACATTCTGTTAAGGAAGGAGAAGCCATCTTTCTCCCGACCCAAACAGATCTTGCTCTGCTCCATTGCGTAGCACTAAAAAGCTGAAGCTTAGCACTGTTTCCTCCCAACGACGGCTATTTCTGGCTGCATCTTAAAAGCGGGTTGGAAGCCACTAGGCTTAAAGAAATGGCAATATTTTTTTATTTCGTTCCAGAATATCCCTGAAGACCATATAAAGTATATATATAGTTCTGGAGCCTGGGGAAGGCTCTGATGGATGCTCAGCGTCGGGCACAGAGATAGAGCCAGGGCCGTTCAGCATTTTCCAGGCACAGAGGCAGCTGCCTTTGGAGTCAGAGATGAGTAAGAAGGAGGGACAGCTGGGGCCTGTTCCAGATGCGCATATGCGCAGAGCAGATAGGAGAGGTGAACAACGGAGGACAATGAACCGGCTCAGGAAGCAAAACAAATGTGGATGCTGAATGGCCCCTCCCTGACTCTACAATCTTTTGCTCAACCATTACCTATGGCCCTATTTGAACCCTTTTCCTACTAATGAATGTCTGTTCTTTACTAATAGGTGGAAATAAAACATCTGGTAATTTTGGACCAGAAAAACAGGCAAGAGGAAACCTAGTGTCATGGCCGCTTTGGAGCCTGGTTCAAAGGAGTTGTAATTGTGACCATGCAATGGGGATAGCACGTTTAGAAACGCCAGGAGCTGAGGACAATGCTGTCCCAGGTCCCGAAGGCATTGGGGGGGAGGTGTCAACCAGATGAAGAGCTACCTGCACTCACAGACACACGGGAGGATCGGCTACTGACAAGCAGCAGTGCTGATAAGCAGCAGATCCCCTCTGATGAGGAACAGCTGCCTCCCCCCCTCGATCCAAGGGCACGAGGACCTATGCAGAGCATAAGCAAGCTCGGAGAAGGGCTGTGAGGCTACTCAGGAGAAGGTTGCCCCAACCCTCCATCACAAGGAACACCTGGAATGGATTGACTTAAGGAGAAGCTATGGGGATTTAGTCTTTGCCAGGAACAATTGTTTGTTTTGGCTTACACTCCCCCGGCCTTGACTCATGCCTTTTGCCTTGCCCTGACGACTGTCTTTTGTCTCGTGCCTTGACTTTGCCTTGTGGAGTACAGTGTGTCTTGTGAACGCGCTTAAGTGGATGGACTCTTGGGACCCTGGAATTCAGATTGTGAGCGTGCTCCTACTCTGTGGACTTTTTTTGTTATATATGGGTTGTTTGGGGGAAGAGAGATGGCTGTCTTCAGGGTAGCGTGGGGTGGAGCCTTACCGGTTGTTAGAGGGTTGTTTGTTGGAACTTATAGCAATAAAGGTGTCTCTAGAGGCCTGTTTTGCCTTGATCATCTGGGTCATAAAACCTTGTGCCTTGTTTTTTCTTCCACTGTCAACTATGACTTTAGATTATGTTTCATCAAAAAATATAAGGAGAAACAAAACCTTAGCTAAATTTATATATTTAATTTAAATAATTAAATATATTTAATTTAAATAATTACTTAAAACAGGAAACTTACTCCAAAGGATTCACCAATTGAAACCAATATTCTGTGGGACAAGATAAAAAATATATTTAATATTTTTTCTAGAAATGACGTTTGAGACTAGACACTATATAGATATAAAAGCTATATTAATATAAAGCAATTTATATAACATTGTCCAGTTGTAGTATAACCCATGTTTTCCCGAAAGCAAGATCAGGTCTTATTTTCTTTGAGGCCCTAAAATAAGCACTAGGGCTTATTTTCGGGGGTCTTTCTCCCCACTTCTGCTTGCTTGTGGTGGGGCCGGAGGCCTTGCAGTATGCCAGTGCCTTGGCCGCAATGGGGGGGGGGGCTGGAGCTGCTCCACGCATCCCACATCGGTTTATCTCAGGTCCTCCAGAACCAGCCCATCTACACCCCGATACCTGCCTCAACTCTCAGCTGTGGCATTGGCACACCCCTCAGTCTCCTCCATTGCAACCATGAGCAAGCAGAAGAAGTGGGTGGACTCCTGTACATTGATGTTGGTGCTGCCGCCACAAGGCAAGTATCAGAGCAAGCAGCATCAGCCCCCCCACATCACGGCCAAGGCACTACAAACAACCAGACAGAATGGGCAGCCGGGAAGCTGTGCAGGCTCTTAAGTAGGGGTTATTTTGGGGATAGGGCTTATATATAGGTGCAAGCATAAAAAACCATGCTAGGGCGTATTTGGGGGGCAGGGCTTATTTTTAGGAAAAACATTGTATATAGATAATATTAATATCTATCTTACTAATTCCCAATGCTTCAACAGGACCCACTTTCTGAAATCAGAAAAGCCAAAAGGAAATATTCTAAAAAGGAGATGCACTCATTAAATTTTGATTGTGTCAAAGTCAAAAGCGCATCCAGAAATTATTCAAACATGTAGATAAATTAATCTGGATTTGATTTTTGCTTCAATTTTTGGAGATTCATAAAGATAAATTTTGAGTTTTATTAATCCAAATTTTTTTTAGAGTTAATCATGATTTTCAGCTTAAGATGGAATAGATACCTTCTCTGACAATAAATCTAAAATGGTCATTCTAAATACTCAAATCATATTCATGAGGCTTAACCTTTAAACATAATTGTACCTGAAATGTTTTTTCTTCCCAATAATAATCAGAAAAATACATGAAAGTTCTGTGAAACAATCTTCTCATTCATGTTTTGTCACATATGTAGTTACTAGGAAAATATTCAAGCCTCAACAGGTTTTACTTTAAAATAAGCTTCCCTGGTCAGTCAGTGAGTTTATCTGCCAGAATGCCCTAAAACCTGCCCAGAAGCAGTCAGCTTAAACTGGGTGGGAAGCGCTTGCTTATTTACACAACTTTTGCGGAGAGGGGAAGGGCAGATTCCCTTTCAAAGAACAGCTCCATCTTCTTTGCTCCCTCTGGTGCCCTACAGTTTCTCTAACCCTTGTGTTGAGTAATGTCATATTAGCATTAGGACAAAGTAGCTCTGTTTTTATTTCTTTGGGGCAAGCTCTCTTTCATCCCAGTGTTAATGTGTTCTGTGAGCACTATTTTTCACTACTCGGGTTTTGATTTATTTTTTTTAGCATCTTTTCAGAAAAACTGTATTTTACAATAAAATATGGGTAAAAACTGCAGCAAAATAAGGGGCTATTAGTTGATGGAAACTGGATCCATCTCTAATCAATAATGGGCGCTGCTGTTCACATCAGCAATTGAGGCCAGCTACGTGAGTGTCAGAGCGGCAAAATAGCAATTACTAGTAAGCAGCAGGAATGGCAGTAAGCAAGCCAAGAGAAAGGGAGATAGAACTGATCACTCTTTCCTATTAGCTATTTGAATCTATGGTTCCCTTGGCCTCATTAGAAGTCCCCCATAGACAGCTCAAGATGAAAGTCCACATGAGGCTCTATTAGCCCACTAACAAATACATTAAAGTCTAGGAAACTATGAATGCCATTCACATTACATCCAGAATGTATGTATGTATGTATGTATGTATGTATGTATGTAT